GACTTCATGGTACCTGGAAGCAGTCCCTTGGGAGATGGTTATGACTATGCACAACGAAGGGCAGGTGCAGCTTGCAGCCATTTGGATGATGGCTGCAGTTTGGGGGACTGGCTTTCCAGTAAAGGTGTTTTTAGTTTCTCTAGGAAATAAGTCTGGGTGCTATTTTAAGTCACCCGTGAAACTGAGATTAATTTAGAAGGGACCTAAACGGTCCAAACCAAAGCTAAGGGGACAATCTGTTCCATTGAGTTTGAAAGGTCTTCCAAGGCTCCAGGGGCTCCAGGGAGGTCTGCATTTTAGAGTGTGTGTGTTAAATGCCTGAGTGTGAAAAGAGACGTGGGCCTGGAGAGGAAGACTGGCGTCTGGGTCCCATCCAGAAGAGAAAAAGGAGGGACAGCTGTCCTGAGCTGGCAGGGTTTTGTCCGGGGCCTTCCTGCTCTGGTTATCTGGGTTGAAGATCCCACCACATGCAGTGCTTGACTTGGCCAGGGTGTCTGGGGAAGTGGGGAGTCCTCTCCCTGCTCCCTAGTATCTTACACACCAATTCAAGGGAAGTACGTGAACACTTTTGAGATAACTAATGAAAGTTGGGCAGGTGTTTTCTTGTGTCCAGCGTCCATGGCAGATAGATGGGTACTTTGTCTTCAGGCCCTCGGCTGTGTCGTGCAGGCCATGTGTGTCGTAATAGGTTAAAGTTACAAGAGATGGGAGGGAGGGGAAGCTTCCTGGAGAAGGTGGGACCTGCAGGTGAGCCCTGTGAGGCAGATTTCGATGGTATGGTGTGGAGAAGAGAGAGCATTTCACATCAGGAGAGCAGTGTGCGAAGGGGCTGGTCTAGAGTCTGGCTCCACCATAGTGGGAAACATTAAAGAAATTAAGCCCTGGATGCTGATGCTTGGGTTTGAACACCGCCTCAGCCACTTAGTAGCTCGCTGGTCTAGGGCAGGTTACCTGCTGAGCCGTGGCACGGCACCCAGGGGAGGCATCTGGCAGGCTGTTGCAGTGACCATGCTGGGCGTGGCCAGGGCCTGGGCCCCGAGACCCCGCATGGGGAACGAGACGTTAGGAAGCAAAGCGCCCCTCCTCCTGGCTGGCCGCAGGCCTGGGGTGAATGAGAGATAGGCATCCTCAGAGGTGACTCCAAGGTTGCAGGATGTGGGATGCAGAAAGGGGAGAGGCAGGAAATGGGCAGTGGAAGCAGCTTTTTCATTTGTTACTTTGTTTTTTAATGGGTTCGGTTTTAAACTTATTGGCCATAAAGTGGTGTAGACTCCTTAGTGAAAATGTCTTGGGGGACACTGTCTCAGGGTGGGATCAGGGGCAGGGAGGGGGTTGAGATGGTTCCTGGAGGTGGGAAGGAGTGTGAGAGAGGAAGCAGGAGAGAGGAAGCAGGAGATGGTCTGGCATCGGAGAGTCCATGCAGTGCGGGGGCATGGGTGACAGCAGAGGCCGAGCGGATTAGGCTCCTCGATTGGAGGCCTCTTGGTGTCAGGCTGTGTGTATTGCCTACATCACAGCCTTGCCTCTGAGCACTTAGGGAATATTCCTTCCATTGGTGGCCGGATCCTAGGGAATACAGGTTGCCTGTTCACTGAGACTTGCCTGGGCCGTCGGCTAGCTTGATGGTCAGAAAGACGTTGGTGTTTCAGCTGGGAGGTGAAGTGGGAGGTAGGCAGAGAAAGCGCTGGGAGCCTGGGTCAGGCAGGAAGTGGTTGTGGGGCGGCTGGCAGGGCGGGAGGAGACTTGAAAGGAGACCCTCTGGGGAGTGGCCTCGACTCCCCGCTGCTGCCACTCACAGCGCCACTACTTTGATTGAGCAACAGTGCAGAACTGTGATTTGTCTCGAATAGGAAGGTGTTTCTGAGGCTTAGGAAGTCCCTTGTTTTTGAGGGAACTGCTGTGGAGTTTTTAGACACGAAGCCGAGAGCAAAAGGAACCCTGGAGAGGAGGCACCGTCGTGCGGAACTGAGCCATCTTGGTGCTGGTGCTGGCCCACAGCACCCTGTGGCTGGAGGGGGTCCTCAGACCCCAGGCCCCCAGGGTGAGGATGCCTGGAAAGGTTTACCGCTGGAAGACAGCAGAAATGTGGCTCCGTGCCCAGCCTGCCCCCAGCAAGCCAAGGTCATGGCCGCGATTGTGCCCGATCACGTTTTCTCGAGCAGGGGGCTTATTCCGCTTTCTCTGTGTCTTTTTTCCATTGACTTGGGTGAGGTCTGATTTCTGAACCAGGAAAATCTGTAATAAATTGGAATTAAGTAGCAGGGTTTAAAATTTTTTTTAATGTTTAGTATTTATTTTTGAGAGCGAGTGCGTGCACAGGTGCGTGTGAGTGGGGGAGGGGCAGAGAGAAAGAGGGAGACACAGAACCCGAAACAGGCTCCAGGCTCCGAGCTGTCAGCACAGAGTCCGTTGCTCAAACGGACTCGAACCCATGAGCCGTGAGATCATGACCTGAGCCGAAGTTGGATGCTTAACTGGCTGAGCCACCCAGGCACCCCTTAAGTAGCAGGGTTAAGGAAGGGAAGCACTAGATTTGTATTCAGCCCTGGAGGAGGAAATTGGCACAGCGTCCCTGGGCAGGTGTTTGCTGCAGGAACTTGGCCTTGTGCTCCCGTTGCCCTGCTGATCTCTTTTCTCCCCATACCCTCTCCTCTGCTAAGTAACTAGGCTTTTCTAGCAAATGATTGATAATGTGTCTTAATGATAGGTTTTAAATATCAAAATTTAAATGTAATTATTATTACTCTGTTTTTCTCTGCTTCTAACTAATGTCCTTTGGGCTCTCGCCTGTGCTCAGAGCCCTCAGCGCCCCTCAGAGCCTCAGCACAGGGTGGACGGGGCGGGGGGAGGGGGGTGGAAACAGGTCTCCCTGAGAGCAGCAGAGTGGGGTGCCGCAAGTGACTCTAATTTTTTACACAACCTTAGGTTTATGGAAGAGTGGCAAAGATAGTACAAAGTGCCTCTGCACACCCTTCACGCAGCTTCCCCTCTTGCTAGCGTCTCAGTGTCGCGGCACGTTTATCAGAGCTAAGAGAGCGACATCGGTGCAGTCCTGTGAACTACAGACTATTTGCATTTTCCCAGCATCTAGTCCATTTAGCTTTGTGTAGTGTTTTTTCCAAGTGAAAATGCCCCGTGCAGCTGCACAGAAATCTTCCCTTCTGCAGACTGTGCTAAGGATCTGCATTATTAGCCTCGACACCCGGGGATGGCAGAGAAATGACAAAGAGGACCTTGTTCGCATGCCGCCCCGCCTCCACAGGGCTTTCTCCAGAAGGGCACTCACGGAGGTGGGTCCCCTCAGCTCTCCCTGCTTCCCTGAGCCTCCTTCCTGGGGAGCGGCAGTTGCTGCCAAGGGGCAGAGCTGTGACATCTCAGGCAACTGTTCTGCAGTGTCTAGGCCCCAGTGTCCCCATGTGTCAGTCGAAGGGGTTAGACTTCCTCCCTGAGGTCGTTTCTGGCTCTAATATTTTAAGACTTTCAGGCCTCTTATAATCATTAGGATCCAAAGTCAGAGTTGGGGTCAGACTACTTAATTCACTGGCCCTCGTTTTCATGCACAGCAGGGTCGCTGGTGGGTCAGCCTTTGGACTTGAGTCCTGGAGGAAGAGACAGAGTTACTACTCGTTCCTTTATTTCTTCACTGGTGCCGTCATTCAATGAAACACGGTGACAGTGACCTCAGAGTTCATTCGTCCAAAGGTCTGGTGGGTCCTGCTGGAGAGAGCTGGCTTGGTACCAGCCGAGCCACGTCTGAGCCAAGGTGGCTTCTGGGCCCCACCTTTGCCCCGAGATACCATCTGGCTGATTTCCTGCTCAGGAACTGGAATCGTCAGCCACGTAAAGGAGAGGTTGTATGTGTGCACACAGTACCGTAAAAGCAAATAACCTTTCCTTCCGTTTCAGTTCTCAGCCTGGTTCTCCCTGTCCCAGGCGTGTGTGCACTGTTCTGAGGTGTGAGAAGTTCCTCCTGTCCCAGCTCCCAAGACCAGGAAATGCTATGGGAATAAAAAGAATGTAAAAAGCGAAGCAAAACAGCCCCCCACCCCCGTCGCTCATCTCTTTGGGTTTATGGGTCTCCTCGTTAGGTTATTTGGTAGCGGTCGGCCGCTTGCGGGCCAGACCTGGCCTGCCACCTTTTTGCAGTCAGGTTGAACTGAAACACAGCCACGCACACGTGTGTTCATCACGCCTGCCTGCGTGTAGAGGCAGCAGTGAGGACTAAAGGCCGTGTGGCTGGCCGGGCCTCACACATTTGAAGTGTGGTCCTTCGTGGATTTTCTTCTGACGCCTGAAGTAGGGCATACGAAAGGAGAACTGATCCCTCCCCACTGCCGTCTTCTTCCAGAGCAGAAAATAGGACTGAATAGGCAGGGACCTCCTGACGGGGGGTGGGATGGATCCACTGAGCTGCTCTCCGCGTTGGAGTAAGTCACAGGGGACCGTGGGCGGCCTGCTCAGCAAAGGCCAGGCTGAGCTTCACCGTGCGGGTGGGTGCAGGTGCGGGGCTGTGCGGAGCCCTGGACAGGAAACGTGAGGCCGTGGGCTTCCTGGAGGGCCAGGTAGGAAGATACGTGCTGGAGGCACCTGCAGTTCCCGGTCTGGGCTTGACTGCGTCAGTAGACAGAGCCGCGTGCCCGTGTGAATTGGGGTCTTCCCTGCACCCGGGCTCTGCTCTGGCTGCTGAAAGTCGGGCTGTGTAGAAGGGCTGAGCCACCACGTGGGTGGGGTGGTGAAACACGCCCTGAGTGGGCGTCGAAGCCGCAGCACGTTCTCACGCCACGAGGAGTGGGGTTTGGCTGCCTGCGGAGCAGCCCTCTCCCCGGAGCGCTTGACCCAGGGCTTAGCGGACAGTCCCCCACCCTCTGGTGGCCCCCGAGGTGTTTTGGTCAGGCGGGCGACCTGGGTCTTGGGGAGGCCCGCTCCCGAGGTGGGGAGGGGATGGCCCGATGCGGCCTCGGCCACCCCTGTGTGACCCTCACCCGCTGGCTTCTCTGCAGGCTGGCGCCCATGCGGCTGTACACGCTCTCCAAGCGCCACTTTGTCCTCGTGTTCGTCGTCTTCTTCGTCTGTTTCGGCCTGACCGTCTTCGTTGGGATCAGAGGTAAGCCGCAGTTTTTGATCGTTTTATCATTTACAGTTACCTTAGTACCCGCTTTTCAGCCCAGCTGAGCTGTCCCCACTCGCTGTCACCCGCTAAGAGCCCCGCTGTAGAGGGTGAAGTGCCACTTCTTCTGAACCCACTGGGTGAGGGGTAACCCTGGCCTTGCCCCACGCAGCAACCAGGGCTTGAGTTTAGCCTGGCAGTACCGGGAGGCCTCGATGGCGTACCTTTTAGCGGACGGTCCAACATTTCTGCAGTCTCCTGTGCTCGGGACCCAGCCTGGGCGCTGGCGAGTCCAGGACATGCTGGCCGATGGGGGCCACAGGCCATGTAAACGGCCCGGCGCAGCAGATTCCAGGGAGGGCATGAGATAGCTGTGAGCACGGGGCTGGGGTGACCGAGGGGACCCGGGAGGCTGCTCTAGTGACGCCCCAAGCTCTTGGCAGGAGGGAGCCTGCAGGTTGGCTTTTGCCTTGTGTTCAGGGCACCAGGTGCCCTGGGGTTCCAGAGCCACATCATAATGCTTTTAGCTTCAGAAATGCCTTTGAAATCATCCAGTCCAACCCCATTTCGCACAGATGGGAAACAGAACCAGAGAAGCTGGCTTGTTTTCAGCAGATTCCCAGAAACCTGGTCTCTTCAGCCCTGTCTGGGGGGTAGGAGACCAGGAGCCTATGTGGTTGTTTCTTCTTTCTTTCTTAAATATATTTTTTACTGAGGGTGGTCTCTGATAGGTGTTTGATTACGGCATTTCCTACTAAAGTCAAATGACACTTAGGCTTAGCCTGTCCCAGAGGCGGCTGGGCCTCCAAAGGCTAGTTTCTTAAACTTTTTTTATGTTTATTTAATTTTGAGAGAGAGGGAGAGACAGAGCGTGAGCAGGGGAGGGGCAGAGAAAGAGGGAGACATAGAATCCGAAGCAGACTCCAGGCTCTGAGCTGTCAGCACAGAGCCCGACATGGGACCTGAACTCACCAACCGCGAGATCATGACCTGAGCCGTTGTCAGACGCTCAGCCAACTGAGCCACCCAGGTGCCCCTTAGAGGCTAGTTTCTTAACCTACACTGGATGTGGGCTGGGTGAATGGCCCAAGGAAGCTGGGGAGAGGGAGGTCGTTTATGTGCTGTTTGCCTGCTGGTGACGAAAATGATGGTGACAAGCAACTGTAGCCTCCTCTTTTCCTGCCCGTGAAGTCACCAAGGAATAAGTTACATTAATCACAGCACAGGACATATCAGTCATCTTACTTGATTTTCGTAACTGTCCTTTTAAGATTGGTAGGAGAGGCATTCATAGTCTCCTGAACTGCCGTCTCATGGGACCTCAGCCAACTCGTTTCCTTAAGCCACTGTTGGCCGCAACATCCGTGATTATATTCAACCTTTTCCACTCTTGCATAAGTGAAAAGTGATACACCTGGGCTGAGACGGGAAGAGCGATGTCAGGATTTCCATGTCCCTTTCCTTCTTCCCAGTGAGTGCTGGTATTAGGGTTCTCCAGAGAAACACACCAATAGGATATACGTAGATACCGATATAGATGGATGTATTGTGCCTTCGGGGCCTGCTCGGGCCCGATCGTATATGCCCCACTTCCGTCGGATGATGGAGTGCTGCTGTGCGTGTCCAGCTCCGTGTCCTGCTGGGTCAGCTGACACCCAGCTCATGATGGGCAGCGCAGGTCTCCTGGTAACTTGGTGGCCCACGGGTAAGCGTTTAGTCTCTCCTAAGGCCTGGTAGGAAGGCAAGAGCTGTGTGTCACGAGGGGAGTGGTTATCGTGGAGGAGGGCAAGGCTTTGCTCCAGAGTCCCAAGGGTCTGTGCGAAGATTCATCTGTGGGCCCTGCCAAAGGCTCCAGATGACATCCTTGTCTTCTGACATTTCAGACACCTTTACATCTGCCGGATCATGTGGCCCCAGCAGCAGGCAGCCCGCACGGCAGCCTGGAGCTGGTGGAGAGCCTTCTCTTGTCCTGGCCCCCACTCAAAACTTGCAGCTTTTTGGTTCACGAGGTAAATGGTATGACACCCAAGCGAGGAACACGTTGCCTCCAAAATGCAAAGAGGCGAGGCCCGCTAGGCGTCGCGCCTCTGGTTTGGTTGTAGGGGAGCCAAATACAACGGTTTATCTTTCACCTCAGAAGGGATAGCTCTACGTGGCGCACGTGTATCTTGACCAGATTTCTTTCCGTTCTCCCACGTGCGAGCGTCTTACCAGGAAGTTTACAGTACTCGCTGCTTCTTGCTCACGGCGGCTTGTGGGAGGGAGAGGTGACCAAGGTCCGTGCGAACCAAATTAGGATGTAGGGCCGGAGATTTGCCACTCCTTTGAGGGAGGACCGTGAAGGTGTATTGCTGGCCTGGCTTCTGGTGGGCCTCGCTCTCAGCGATGAAGAAAATGGCGTTTGCCGGATCAGCAGCTGCCTGTCAGGTCCCAGAGGATGTGTGAATTTGCTCAAGCAATGAAACCCTGCCTGCAACAGCCGCTGCGGTTCGAACCACACCCGGTGATGCTTAATGGCGATCTGCTGTCCTCTCCAAGACCCACCCACCTTCTGCCCAGGCCAGATAGGCGAGTTGAACGGCCGTGTGGTGGGAACCTTTCAGGTTGGGGGATGGGAGAACTCACGGCTGCAGTCCCTCCAGGCATGCGATGCTGCTTTTGATTATGTTTTTGTAAGTAGAGGCTCCCTGCAGGGTGGGGATTCTGCCAGGCGCTGAGTGTATCTAGTGCAGTTCTGCATTCTGGAACTGGGGACCCACTGGGCCCATTGTGACACGTACCTGAGCTAAAACCCCACTGATTGCGTGACCTCCGTGAGTCCCTGCTCTGACTGGTGGACCGCACTGATGTTTTGGGTCTCCTGAAATTAGGGTCAGTTCAGAGCCGGTGCCCGGGGGTCCCCAAAATGTATTTCCTTTTCCCCAGTGTGCGGTCATCTTGGTAAAAGGTTGTAGGTTCCTTTGGGAGAATGATTAATAGTACACATTTTTGGCAGTGTACTGGGGTGCTTTCTTAAGGGGACCCTGCCTCCTCTTCACTCAAGGTTTGAGTCTGTAACCCGGCTCAAATCTGGAATCTATCGATGGGCTACAACTTCCTGTGTTTATGATTCAGGTTACACTTTTGTTCACTTAGAATTTTCTGCTTACACAGATAGGGTAAGACTATAGTAGGCTTCCTGTGTATTTCACTTGTGGAAACACCATAATCAACTAGCCAGCACCACAGGTCTGTGTGAATCAGATGGTCGGATTGCTGCTTTGACTCTCCTGTTCGTTACAGTGACCGTACCCACCTTGCTTTTGGTGGCTGAGTCCCTCTGCTTGGCCCCGCCGCTGCTGGGATTCAGCGACTCCCATAGCGTTTGGTTTCCCCCCGTTCAGTGGTCATGGCTCCTGCTCTCTGGGTGGCCTGCCGAGCAGGGCCGTCACAGAGCTCTTTCAGGATGCTGGGGCTCCCCTCACAAATTTATTCCTCACAGTAGTGGTGAAAGGTCTGTCTTCTGGGCTCTTCCAGCGGGTCTTAAATGACAAATCCACCCCAATGTTCTAGTCTCCCCAAGTCTCCCAATCCCCTCCTCTCCATTAAGCCAAGGCAGGTGTGGCATTTCTGATTTGCTCACTGGGGACCACCTTTTGGTCCAAGTTTTAACCAGCCAACCGAACTGTTAGAGCCCCTCCTAACTCCCTGAGCTCTAGCACGCAACGCAGTATCTCTGCTGAGTGAGCCCATGTCCATAAATCCAGCCTGATCCAATTTACGTTCCTTCCACCGTGTTCGCCACACCCTTAGTAGTCATTCCCATACATGTTCCCCAGATTTCTCTCTGTATAAATCCGAAAACTCAAGTATTCTTTGAGAGTGTAGTGCATCTCCTCGTGGGTCATATTTGGTGCCTCATCTTCAGGGGCCTGTTGGGACTTGAGTCTAGTATGTTCTAGAAGCAAAGAGGGAAGGTTGCTCAGCAGAATCTGCATCGTCTTGCCTGATCCTCAGGGATCACTTGCATAGGTAATGCAGGGTCTTCGTCTAGGAAGGAGGTGGGAGGGCTGTTTCTACTGGGAATGGAGAGAACTCGTCTAGTGGCAAAGAAGATGCATTGAAACGTAATAGCTCCACACCCCCAGCTTCCTCAGGATCCTCCTGTGCGTCTCCAGACCAGGACCCCACTGCTCCCCAGTCAGTGCCCTCGCTTCAGCAGTGAGCCTGTGAGGCTGGTGTCCAACTTGCATTGTAATTCTGCCAGTTGCAGCATGAGATTCTGAGCTTGATTTTCAGCACTCAGCCCCTATGGCTACAGGTGATAAGGGTCTCTGTCAGGGCGCACAGAAGCTGTCAGATCATTTATGCAGCTCTGGAGCTGGGAATTCAAACCCCTGACCTCGCCTTTTCTTTTACCACGTTATCCAGGGACATTAGGAACAACCAGTCAACCTCATTCTATTTGTTTGTTATTAAAAAAAAATTTTTTTTTAAAGTTTATCCATCTATTTTGAGAGAGAGTTAGACAGCAGGGGAGGGGCAGAGACAGAAGGAAACAGAGAATCCCAAGCAGGCTCCGCACTGTCAGCATAGAGCCTGACATGGGTCTTGATCCCACGAACCGTGAGATCATGACCTGAGCTGAAAGCAAGTGGGACACTTAACTGAGTAAGCCAGCCAGGCACCCCAATCATTAGCATCTTTAAATCTAATCAGATTAGAGAGCCAATTCCAGAAACCCCAGAACCAATATTAAAAAAGCTCATTATTAATATTCTGTTCCTCTTTAACCACTCTCGTGCCAAACTCTGTATTAGGGTTCTCCAGAGAAATGGAACCAAAGGGGAGATACGTATATATGTATATACTCAGACACACATATGCATAGGAGGGGGGAGGGAGGGACAGGGAGACAGGGAGAGAGAGGGGCAGGGGTAGAGAAGAAAGAGAGATTTACTGTAAGGAACTGGCTCGCATGATAATGGAGGCTGAGAAGTTTCAAGATATGGAGGCATAGCAGAGCTGGTTAAGTTCCAGCTTGTGTCTGGAAACAGATGAAGACCTATGTGCCAGCTTGAAGACCGAGGACAAGACCGGGCAGAGAGCAGATTCTCCCCCATTCAGCCTTTTGCTCTGTTCAGGCCTTCAACCATTTGGATGAGGCTCACCCACATTGGGGATGACCAAATTTTTTCTCATCTGTCCACTGATTCGCCAGAATCATGTTTATCCAAGTATCTGGGCACCCCAGGGCCCAGTCAGTTGACACAAAAATCACCATCCTACGTCCTGTGGTAACATTGTTAGGATTTCAGATTAAGAGTGTGTTAGCGACCAGTGGGTTTGTCACCCCTCGTTTTGCAGATGTGAAAACAGATTCAAAAAGCCAAGTTGGCTAAGACTAGAGTCTGGACTTTGCGACTCCCAGTTCTTAATTCTTTCTGAGAAAGCAGATTGCCTTATTTCCTGGAACAGGGATTTGCTGAGATTGTGAGTCTATTTAAAATAAGCCTCACTGTGGGCGAAAGCCTCCTTCCCACATAGGGACAGCCTGTCAGCATTCATAACGGTTCCAGACACATGTTGCTACGTCACTTACATACTTGCTGTACGTACTCGAGTATTTCCTTCTGTACATGGCGGTTCCTGGGCAGCAGGCTGGGGATGGTCACCCAGGCAGCCCAGAAAACTGGCATCCCAGCTGAGTGTGATTTATTGTAGAACAAATTAAATTAAAATCTGCTTCACACTGTTTCCTTTGATTGCTTCTTTTAAGGCCAAAGCTCTGAACAGTTACATTGTAGGATTCCATGAAGCTTATAGATCTATTATTTCAGGAAAAGCCTTGAGTATGCATTAAAATATTTTATACTTTTTTATATCCTGAACTCAATACATATTTTTGGAAGACTGGATTAATTGGATGAACCGATAAATGTGGCTTAGTTTTTTAGCAGAAATTGTTATACTTTATAAAATCTATAGACAGTGTCCGTGTCATTAACGGTTTCTTGGATCGGAGCACTACTGAGTGAGCCGTCACTGAAAGCAAAGGAGAGGTTTTGCATGTCTAGATCCTGTGGAAGTCACACACATTGTGTGGTGGTCACGTGATGCTCGCCTGGTCTGCAATGTTGTGTGTCTGTTTGTATGTTTATATGTCCCCTAAGGACAGACCAGGAAAATAGGGCCATCTCTACATAATGCGAGTCTTTCTTGGCATTTGAAAAACAATCGATAGGGGCACCTGGGTGGCCAGTTAAGTGTCCACCTTCAGCACTTCAGCTCAGGTTATGATCTCGCGGTCTGTGAGTTCGAGCCCCATTTTGGGCTCTGTGCTGACTGACGGCTCAGAGCCTGAACCCTGCTTCAGATTCTGTCTGCCTCTTTCTCTGCCGCTCCCTCGCTTGTGCTCTGTCTCTGTCTCTCTGAGAAATACACGTTAAAAAATTTTTTAAGTGAAAAACAATAAATTAATTATTGATATAGATATAACCTGGTTTTTTCCTTCTCTGTTACATTTTTAGGGCCCAAAGTGATCCAGACTTCCGCAGCTAATTTTTCACTAAGTAATAGTAAAAAGGTAAGACTGGGTCGAAGTGGCAGCTGGAGGGGCCCTAGAAACTTCCCGGTGACTCAGACACGGTCCTGTCCTGCGTGGAGGGTCCGCGCACCACCCTTGCCCTGCAGCTCCCTTCTTCGGCAGCACGCATTTCTTACAGCGCTGTCAGCCGCTGGGCCCTGGGCTCTTATTTGCCGAAAGGTCCTTTTCTGCTGCAGTGAATACCGCAGCACTGTGAGAGGCCGGTGGTGTTACCTGTGAGGGAGCAGCGGTTCCTTTCCAAATGTTGGTTAACTCCCCCTGATTCCTCCCGCCCATGAGTCTTACTAGACTGTAAGTTCTAACAGTGCTCACTCAGGCATCTGACTATTTTTTATTATTTTTATGCAAGCGAAGATGCCGTCTCCATGTCAGGTTTCTAACAGGCACAGGTCTTTCTGACGATTGTTTGGTCATTCCTTGTATGAACTCGGTTTAAGTGAAAAATCCTTTTTCTTTTCTTTCTTTCATGTGGTTGATTCTTCACCATCTTTAGAGAAAAACAAAGGTCCTTCCAGTTGGAGAATTTCAGTACTCTTTAATAAATGCTAACTTGTGAGAGCCCAAACAACGAAACCCCTTTATTTTTCTGCATATCAGACATAGTATCTTTATCTGTAAACTGAATTCAGTTGTCCTACATTCTCATGGCATCATAACAAGTTTAAATTGGATTATTTGCCCCCAAATATCCCCTTGTCTTCCTTCTCTTAGCTCCCTGGTGGGTTTTCACCCTTAAGATTTTCAAAAAAGCAAAAGGACAAAAATGTCCTAAAGCTTACCTTGTAATCCTTTTTCTTCCTATTCCTAGTTTCAAGGGGCCCTCTGGTTAGCCCGCTAGCATGTGTGTTTATTTTATTTACTTCTTGCCCTGAGGATCTGATCTAAGAGGTGCCGCCATGGAGCTTCCTAACCATAGTTTGGTCTTTTACAATTTCTGTCTCAGAACGTAAGTCCTTTTTTGACACCGAAAATAACAGCCGTCCCACCAAACTGACTTGCTTGCAAGAGCTCACGCTCACTTCTGCAAGATGCTAGACCACCCGCTGGCAGGCATCATTGCCTCGGTGGCTTCGGGCACGCCTTCGGGCACAGGGAGTTTCCGCGGGGCTAAAACACAGAAATGATATATTTACATGCAGAGACTACACATTCTAATAATGTGTTTCTTTGGAACCCTGGGTGGTTTTCAAACACTTACACAGTGTTCTCTGTATCCCAGGCTGCCAGAAGCCAGTATTGTGGTTTTCAGCAGACACTGCTGAAAGTGTCATTGGCAGAAGTATTATTGGCAACCTGGTCCCCTCTAATTTTTCTCTCCAGGGGTGTTAAGACTTCGCAAAAGCTGAAGACAACCAACCTCACCCAGCAACAGGTCTGGCACACTGCTACTGGGGAATGATTCCTGTGAATACGGAAATACGTCTTTGATGTCCTTTATTATCTTAACAACACATCTCATTATATGTACTTCTAATTTTTTCTCCAAGATGGCCTTTTGGTATTTAAGTAGGAATGTGATCCCAAGGCTGCAGGTGGTGGAAATCGCCTGCTTAGAGGTGTTTGTAAGACAGAGGTGACTGCAGTAGAAAGTCCTTTCTTTTTCTGGAGGCAGAATTTCCCTGTATTGTCTAAATGAAAGCTGCACGTTTCTGTTTCAGAGCTAACACTCCAACCTTTTCTGCTAATTGTAAATTTTTGTATATTAAGACAGACTGAATGAAAAGGTCATATGGATTCCTTAACTTTTTTTTTTTTTTTTTTTTGCCTTAGCTGAAGCCAATTCAAATACTTTCAAATCCACTGTCTACATATAATCAGCAACTGTGGCTGACATGTGTTGTTGAGTTGGATCAATCAAAAGGTATGAAGTCTGGCATTTTGGAATGATTTTTCTTTGTACAAAGCACCATATTTGAAAGATGGAGGGAGCTTTAGAATCTTTGAACAAGTTCTCAGAGGTGGATCACAAGGATGGTCATTATTCTTTATAATGACAACAAATTGAAAGCCCCTCAAAAGTCTGCCAGTGTCTTCCAGAGTAAGTTAGAAGTAAGTCAGCATTGGTCAGCTCTCAGGGAGCACCGATCAGCGATCAGCTTAGCTAAGTGGCTGCAAAGCGTAGGTGGTGCTACAGCAGGCTTTTGCCTTGGGGTTCTGGGAGAGAATTAAGTTCTGATGCCCTGAGGGAAACTTGGCAGTGTCTAGGAACATTGTGACATTTTGGTTGTCACCACTGGGGAGGAGGGATGTTACCAGTATCTAGAGGGAGGAGGCCAGGGGTGCTTCTAAACAGCCTGTAGTGCACGGGGCTGTCCCATGACGAAGGATTGTCTGGCCTCAAAATATCAGTACTGCTGAGGCTGAGAAGCCCTGCCCTGCAGCACCCACGGTTTTTTTTTTTTTTTTTTTT